ATATATATATATATATATATATATATATATATATATCCCAATTCGAGACTGTTTGCATTTACCATTATCAGAAATTTAAAAATTAAATTCAATGCATGCGGAAAAGATTGCACTTACCAATATTGGAGATTAAATTCGAGGTGTGAATTTAAATTTTAAAGGTTAAGATGACTAAATTAGGAAAATATTTGAGGATTTATGAGGGCAAATCACCTATTATTGCCCCAAATACCACTTTTATTGATGAAAAATCTAGCCTAAAAATTTATAATAATATAGAGAAAAATAGTCTAACTTATCCTAGCAATTCTTTTTCATTTATTAACAAGTTAAAGATTTAGAAAAAAAAAATATGGTGTTTAAGTCATAACTAATAATATTATTTCAATAAAAAAAATAGAGTGAGAAAATTATATTAGTCGCACAAAAAATATAATAATATTTTCATCTAATTAAGCATTCATAATTATAAATAATTACAGCTTTAACATTATAAAATAAAAATAAAGACACGCATGATGTTTAAATGAATGAGAGATTTTCCCATACATTTAAAAATGTACAAAACTAAAAATATAGTTTATAAACTTTGAATATCATGAGAAATCGCTATATTGTCTTTATCCATATAGATGAAACCAATCTGCACCAATTAATTAGATAATTTTAATTCACACAAACCAATTTGTATGATAATTTAAAAAATAAATCTCACTTTTATTTGACTTTTAATCTTTTTAATATTAAGAAAAAAGCATAAAAGATTGTGTCCAGCTCATCTAATTTATATTGCATTTATAACATTTTTGTTTCAAATAATTGTAAGGGAAAAGAGGCAAGTAATATAATTTTTTATATATTTTTTTTAATATAAATTTTTAATATATTTTTTTTTAAAGTCACACATTTTAGAATATCCAAATAAGAAAAAAAATGACTATTTTTTTTATAGAGTTGGGAATTGTAAATTTTTAATTAAACTGCTTTCTAAAGCAACAAATCTTTAGTAGTACACAAGGTAATTAGGAGGTAAACCAAAAGGAAAAACCAGTTTTAATTACACAATTAAGAATGTAATCACACTTACAAGCCAAAGTCACTGGAAAAAACTGTACCACAACAACAACCACACATTTTACAGGTTCAGGAAGCAAAGTATAAAGATCACAGAGGCTATGCATTATACGCACGAATGGACTGCATAAAACCATCAATCCTTTTCCTTATCTCTTCTGGATTTGCACCCACTATCTTGTCAACTTGAGCACTATCCTTCATCAGCACAAATGTTGGCATGGCCTTCACCTCCATTTTGGTAGCTACCTCCTGACCACACCAACATAAAGAAAAATGCGGCGAAATCACATGATAATAACTTTAACAGAAAAATATCAAACATCTAGCCACGGGCCCTCTCTTTCTCAGAGAGATTATGACATTTCAAAAGAATGATATTAATCTAAAAATTTAAACAAATTTCTATGAATAATTACTTATCTTTTTAAGTAAAAGTTATTTAAAGTTGAAATTTTTTTAAGTTCATCACTACCTGTTTAATTTTATTAAAAAACAGGGCAGCGAGATTTGTGATTATTTGAATAACAAAACTATGATACCAAACCATCTTAATCAATAACCATAATTGTTAAATTGTAATTTTTTATAACAACAAGGCTATGAAAACATCTCTACCAGTTTGGTAGAAAAGTGTCAAAATAATGTCCAGATGCAGTAGAATTCTTGCCAGTTAAAACAACTTAGATTTAACAAATTATGTCCATTTGAGATTAATGGTGTTAATCTAACCAAAGCATTGCTGAAATCAATTTAAGTGCCTAAAAGTTGTGCAAGAAAAGCAATCAGTACTTGGAAACTAAAAGGTTCAAATCAACAAAGTAGAAACTTTAACACCCCGGGTTAGAGTCAAAATCGTAGTTATAAGACCAGACTTAACTTAGTGGATCAACCTAGTGAATCACCGACTCAAGCTAGGTCATTGAAAATACCATGTTTTTTTGAAACAATGTTGTTTTGAAAAACCCCGATTTGCTTAGCTACAAAAGAAAAAAACACCCAATCAACATCATGATCTTTAAAAAAAAATGATGATACAGTTGAAACTTGAAATGGTTCAGATCAGTTGAGGAGTTCACTTAAGGTTCTTGTGGCCACATGACAGTGGGAATTTGTAATCCTGTAAGAAGATATTGTTAAAATACTCAAATTAAGTTGGAGAATTAGCATATGTCCCCTAGAGATACTTTAGTGATGATACTTCCAATCAATCAAAATAAGAATAAAGTTGCTATGAAAAACAAATGATGCTCATACTCAACCTCATGTGAAGGAATCAAATCAGCAAATATATGAAGTCATATGTAAAGATATCACTGCCAAATATCTTATACATACATTTATTTATGTATGTATGCATGCAGAAAAGGTAAGCATGTACGCAGAGAAACATGTTAGTATCATTCTTGGTTCAAGCAATGAATTGATTACCTTAACCTCATCCACGTCAACAATGAGAAACAGGCCATCTGGATAAGCTGAGGCCAGTTCTTCAAAAACTGGGTTCATGGCCACTGATGGCATACACCATAAAGCTGTGAAGTGAACAACGATCTACACAACAACATGGCCTCAACATCATCAATAAGCAAAATATTCCAAACCAAAGAGACCCTTTTATGACAACTTCTTCCACTCATCACCGATGTTGTCAATCAGGGTCTATAAAAGGCGTATTTTTGTTCCTCGAACACAAAATCAGCTAGAAACAATTTAAAGACATGTCGCTTAGAAACTTTGCTGTAAACCTAAGATGGCAGTTGTGAAGCTTAAAAGATATAGAAAAAAACTTACAGGGCAGGCTTGATTGGTGGCTTGGGTGATATAGAAATCCCATGACTCCACTGACTCCACCTTTATAACTCTTGACTTAGGTTGCTGTTCTTGGCTCTCCATGTCTCCTACTTTCTATTTCTCCTTACTATTTCTCTTCTTTTAACTACCTGGCTTCTGCTTCTGCTTCTGCTTCTCAATCCTGTTTAAGAATCTAGACACAGCTAGTTCTGGCTTCCTTGTACAACTAGATTACAACAAAGGTAAAAGCCACACTTGGACCCACTTTATGATCTTTGTCAAATTTTGGATATTTTCTACTTTATCCATCCAGCCTTTTTTAAGGGAAAATGCCAAGTTCAAGCGGGTCCACGTTTTTGATGGCTGGGTCAAGGTCACAAGCCTAGTACACGAATTACAAGGCCTTAAACCTTAACAACAGATCTATATAGGACCCCAAACCACAAATACAAGGCCCCCAAACCCTTGAACTCTAGCAAAAATAAAACAGTGCTTGTGTGCCGTTGACCTTTGTACAATAAAACTGAAACTCCCCTCAGAATTTCAAACCAAAGTGAATCAAAACACTAACATTACAGTATCTTACAAAGATAGGCTGTGAAAGTGATATACATAACTCTGTAAAAATGAAAACTCATCTTTTAGAATCACTGGTTAGATTCTATAACCTCCTTTGTACCAGTGTTCTCCAATTGATGATTTCTGACATTCGACTTGTGAATTAGCCAACAATGACTCCTATAACAATGAGCTAATACAAAGATCCTAACCTCAACATGTAGTTCTAAGAGTACAAATAATTAGCATCTACAGGCGAATACCCAAACTCATTGCAAACACCCCAATGGCACATCAATGACCCTAAATAGAAGCTACTCTGTTACAAATCAAAGTGTGGCGATACACACAACAGAAGCAATTGAGCATTAGCCATAACTCAAGTGCAAATCTGCAGGTCAAGATGTCATTTGAGCAGTCATTTGGCGTCGAGGAATCCCAATTTCGCAAGCATTGACTCTGGCAGCAAACCGAAGGGAACAAAGGGACTCGCCAACTGAAGCAGGATCCGGGGAAATATTGACAAACATCAGGGTTTTGGAATCCCCTCCTAGACAAGGCTGTAAAAAATTTTTAGAAAAAATCTTAGATCCAATCATCTGAGACCAGAAGCAACATGTACACAATGATTCCCACTCATTGGAGTATGTATTTTCATTCAAGTAAAAGATGCAAAGAGATTGGAGGTCTCTTTAGAACTCGTGTTACCTGCAGAAGATAAGTCAATTTTGAGTTCCTAAAAGGAACATGGTCCTCTTTCTTTGCCAAAGCAAATATCACGTCACTCAAACTTGACAAGCTTCTATTAATGGCCTGATCATGTAGAACAAGTTAGCATAATAGCATCGAGATGAAACACAGGGTTTGCAATACTGGATTATTATGGAGCAAACCTGGGTTTCCTTTAACCTGTCTCCAGTAGCCCCACTCCTTGAGAGTCGCTCACTTCCAGCAAGATCTATGAGGTTTAGAACTCCTTGCACTTGTTGTTCAGTACCCTAGCAACATATGAAAAAAAAGTTGAACATTAATCAATTTAGATCAGAAAATTTAAGCACTTGCACGAAACATTGGACAGATAAGCACCTCATTTACTCCTGATATACGCAATGTGAACACAAAATGGCTTCTTGAAGACTGTTCATTCATTTGGGTCTTACCAACGGACCTAGAAAAACAAACAGGCAAGCAAAAACTTTTCAAACTAATATAATATTAACTACGATGCAACAAGCACTAATATTTCCTAACAAAATTTGTTAAGCCAAAAATGATGGGAAAATACAAATTTGCACGACAATACAAAATCATCTTTAAGTATCCAAAAAATTACTCTACCTGCTTTGTGCAGCTTGCCGAAGAAGAGAAGAAATCTCTTCTATTCTACAAACATCCACAATTGTAAGATCAGTGACATTGGTGTTTCCATTTGCATCGTGTTTGATGGTATACTGCTTTCCAGGAGCTCCATTTTCTGCACCACTCGATTTATTTGTTGACAACAAATCACGAATGGTTTCATTGTATATTTCCAGCATTGAAGCCTGCAAATTTAAATCACAAATTAAAAGACAGTTAGATTAGCAAGTCAATGTTAGACATTGAACAGCAGTTTTAGATGCATACCTGCATTTTGTACTTCCAACCCTGTGCTATAAGGGATTGACTTGTTTGAAATATTTGTTCTAAAGAGCGTGGTATCAGCCCCTTCTGCTCTGGAGCTTCTGGTCTACCCATCATAGTATAAGTTTTTCCTGAACCTGTTTGACCATAAGCAAAGATGCATACCTGCCAAATGTAGCCCATTGGCGCTGATTAGGGCCATGAGTAAAGCTAAAAGGATATATCAGACAAACAGAATTCAGCATAAAATGGTAGACTAATTTCAATTTAAAATTTCAGTTTCATGTATGTTTTTAAACATGTAAGCCAAGAAATCATTGGGAGAGCCAATTAAGATTAATATTTTGAAATGCATTTTTGTAATCAAAATAATAACCTAGAACTTCTTTTCCAAATACAATTGCATTCCTCTACAAGTTCTTTTAAGAATAATGACCTAGAGAACAATTCACTCTAGACGATTGCTACTGAATTCTTTTCAATTCACCAAGGCTAATTTTTTCAAATCTATTTTTATAGTATCCCAATGTTCAAGAGAAAGGGACAGCAGAATCATAGAACCACCTTATAGCCATCAAGGGCACTCTGCACAAGCTGTGATATTTCCACAAAAACTTCTTGCTGAGAAGCATCATGATTGAACACCTTGTCAAAGTTAAAAGGATATTTCTGTCCTGCTGAGAACAAAAGCCAGGATTTTTATAAAAAAAAAATGTCATAAAGAAAGCATGGATTTAACAGAATAAAAATATGTAATGTGCAGTTATGCTGGCAAACATGTCTATACCACTTTGTATTACATCGATGCCTCTGCCAAGAGCTTCTGTTGAGGTAGGATATGAAATGACAGGCTGCTCAGACCCAGCAACATCATCTGGCAACACAGGACGCACTCTGCAAAATACTCGAATATTCCCCTTTAGCTCCTGAGATACAAGGCTTGTTTTGTTAGTGCCATCATCCAAGGCTTCACAAATTAGCACAATAGAAGCACTTACCAAGATAGTGTTATGCAGTTTTTTCCTCAATTTCTCTCCTTCAACTAGTTGATATTCTGTCTCTGCTAGGCGCTCCTGTAAATCATGTACATTTCTCCTTTGCTCTTCAAATTCTGCCCTTGTTTGTATAGAAGATAAATCAGACATCTAAAACAAACAAACAAGGATATTATTAGATTTCCTTTAAAAAAATGGTTGATGCAGAAGGTAACCAACTTCCTATACCTTTAGCTTTTCATTTGTAGCAGTGAGCTGATGCTCCAACTGGCATATCTGCTCCCTCTGAGAAGAGCATGTCTCCTGCAACAAAACCTTAATCTCAGAGTTTTCAAAAAATGAATACTAGGCTTCTATAAGAAAGTGGCATTTACAACCTCTAAGGATTTTGTTTTTTCCATCAGATATTCTAGTTTTGCACAGGATTCACCGGTACTTTCTTTATACTTCACCACATCAGAAGTTAAAACCTGCACTTGAGCTACTTGGCGATCACGATCCTCTCTAACCTGCTGCAACTCTCCTCGGAGACATTTCACTTCATTTGCTAATGTGTCTTTCTGATTCAAAGCTTCATCTTGAGCAGTCTAGAAAAATACAAAGTGTCATAGCAATTTAAATAATAAGAACACTTGCAAGCTGTTAAATTGATGAAGTTGAAAGAAACATACCCTGGCTAAATTTAACTGATCCTGCAATGAACTATAGTGACCCCTTAATGTACTGTGGTTCTCCATTATAGTAGACTTCTCTTTTTCTACACGTTTTAGAGATTCACGAGCAACTTCAAGTTCAGAATGTAGCTTGCTATTGTACTGTTGTAAACTCAAGTTGTACTCTTGTAATCGCTTGTACATATCATCAACCGAGGCGGCCTGCAAAATTCACCAAAGATATCAATCATTAAGTTAAGCAATGTAAGGAATTAAGAAACATAGAGTGAAAACATGGTGAAGTAACATTAAGAAATAAAGATGCAAGAATTACCCTTTGATTGGCAACTAAAATATCTTGTTGGGCTTTCTCAAGATCTTTCGATAGAGAAGCCTGCAAAGCTTCTAATGCAATTCTTGCTTCATTTTCCTTTCTATGACAAGCAATTGCATCCTATTTGAAAAAAAGAAAATATCAAAATAAGAAAAAAAATCAGGACGAAGAAGAAGAAGAAACGGGAAGAAATTATCAAAGCAGAAAGTAACAAATTGAAAATTTACCAGTTTTTCGGATTCTTCTTTTACAAGTCTCTCTTGTACACAAGTATTATCTTGCCTCAGCTCACTAATAGTTGCACTAAATCTCTCCTCCTTGTTTTTCATCTCTGCCTCTGGAAGAACACGAATGAATCAACATTAAAAAACTTGTTTTGTCTACTTGAGTTAGTACACATTGGTCAAATAACAAACAAAATACGCAACCAAAGGGATACCATTTTACAGTACTCTGTGCATCAAAATGGTAGGCTGGTTTGAACGCATTCTATGACACAAATTACTGGCTAATCTTCGATACATAATCTAATTATCAGTAGAACCCATCTTATTTTACAAAAGAACATATGGAATCCCAATTCCCAGCAGACATTATGTGATCAGCCAAGAAATTTCAAATAAACAAAACCCCTAGAGTTAAATCAATAGTTCACTATACTTGGTATGGAATTCATGGAAACAAATGATGGATGCGGAGAACTACATTTGCAAGTTCTCAATTACCAATTTATCATAGAGAATGACACTGACCTATGAATCCTATATCAACTCAGTCAATGTATGTGGGTGTAAGCAATAGATTAGATTGTCAATCACTTGTCAACAAACATAAGATCATGTAGTCCTGGAATGAGACATTAAAGAACCAAAAGTACCAGTTTCAGCACACTTCTTCTCCAAAGCATCTAAAGCATTTTGAAGCTTTCCTTCCCCTTCAACATGGGCTTCATCCCTCTTCTGGAACCATTTGATACAAACCTTGAGCCTGGCATTAAGTTCACTCACTAGTTCCATGTTACCCTGCCAAAACAAAACGACAGTACCAAACTTTTCAAAAAACAAAACCAAACCAACAACCAGTCCCTTCACCAAACCAAATTCACCAGAAAACAAAAATAAACAAGTAAAACCTTGTGATCAAACTTCTTCATCTTCAATCTCTCATTCACCAGCGCATCAATTTCTTCTTTAGTAAACTCAACATTGCCACAATCCGAACCCTCAACACAGCTTCCCACATCACTGGTGGCAGCAACATCCAGCTTTTTGTTAACAGAACCAAATGGCTTGCGTTCTGCATTCATGGCTCCTCCTGTTCTTCCCATCCCAATCCTCCTCCGCTTATCTAATGGGATACTTTCCACCCCTTCCTTCTTCTACAAAACCCCAACAAAGCATCACATCAAAAGAAAATTCAACTAACTAAAGAAATGGGACCAAAAACACAGAGCAACGATTGTTCAATTAAACCTAAAGAACACAATTACATCCAATAAATGAACAATTAATCAACACAAAACAAACCACAAATCAGCAACAACCCAGTAAACAAACTTCGAATTATCCAATAACTTTCATAAATATTAACCTAACAGAACCCCAAATTTGAAAAACCAGAAGGGAAAATTATAGACTAAACTGAAATTCACTACCATTTAATTCAGATTAAACAGAAGTTAGACAGATTAATATAACAGAAGCCCAAATTTCAAAACCCAGAAGGGCAAATTTCAGGCTAAACTGGGATTTACTGCTAGTTAAATAAACTTAAAAAGAAATCAGATTAATTAATACAACAGAGACCCAAATTTTGAAATTCACGCAACAATTAATTAAAACTAATTAAGGGCAACACGATAAGATAAAATCAGTTCACACTATTAGAAAAGGCATTAAACACAAAAACCAGAAAACCCATTAGCATTTTAATTTGAAAACCCTAAAAACAACAAATTTTCTTTAAATTTTTCAAGATCCAAAGCTCCTTTTTATTTTCTCGGCAACCAAACAACCCCTTTAAAACAGACAAAAGGAAAAACAACAGCGATGATAAAAACAGCAACAGCAACAAGAACAAGAAAGAAACTAAAAAATTCTTACAGAAGAAGGACTTCGAGGAGGCCGATTCTGGTTCCTAGAAGTCATGAGAAGCTACTACCCTGAAAAACTTTTCTCGAGCCAAACGCAGAATCAATCGAATCCGTTGGTTTTCACTTATATTGTACTAGAAGGTGCCAAGATTGAATTCTGACCGTTGATTGTTCGATTAGCAAGAGAGAGAACGTTGAGATCTTTAGGTGTTTGAGAGAGAGGACGTTTGGGTTTTGGGCGGAGCGTGAAATTTGAATTGATTCTTTGATTTCAAAAGTGGAAGATGTAGCGTTTGCTATATATGTTTACTGATTTGCCCTTTGTTGGAGAAAAGTGTACGTTGCAACCTTTCGGACCAAAATTCAAATTTTCGACTCCTTAGTGCAGGCCTGGTTTAGAAATATTTACACCAGCCTTTTAATTTTTACATTTTAAAAGCATTTTAAAAAAATATTAAATTCTTTTATTTTTTTGTTTTAAATTAATTTTTATTTTTAGATTTTTTAATATGTTGGTGTGAAAATAATTTTTAAAAAATAAAAAAATATTACTTTAAAATATTTACAAATAAAAAATACTTTAAAAAATAATTTTTATCTTACTTTTAAATATTTTCTAATAATTAAAAAGAATAGAATAACTTGAAGAAATAGTTATCATATTCAAATACAACTGAGAGAGTGATATAAAATGGAGTCTATGTGAACTAATAAGTAGGTTAATTTGGATTAAATTTTTTTATTAAAATAATTTTTTAATTTTTTTGTGTTTATTCAATGAAATTTATGTAAATTACTAAAATACTGATTAGATTAATTAGATATCATTTTATCTTATTGAATTTAATTAAAAAAATAAAATTAGGTTTAGAATCAACAACACAACAACTATACTTGTATTGTGACTAATTGACTTATGATGACTTGCAAATTTAAAGTATGTTTATTTTTGTGGCTCTGTTTATTGTTTAAAGTGTTTTTAAAATTATTATATATATCAAAAATATTAAATTGATGTTTTTTTATGTGTTAATGTTAAATAAAAAATAAAATAAATATTATTCTAATATATTTTTATAAAAACACTTTTTACTGCATTATTAAACACACAATCAAAGAAGTAGAGTCTTGGACTAAGAGAAATGTGGTTTTTAGTTTAGCAATTTCTTGAAAAAAAAAAGGATAAATATAGTCATATAGTTTATTATAAAATTATTCTACCCCAAAGATACGTGAATTTAATATTGATAATCTTTGGGAATTGAGATATGATCTTATAATCAAAGAAACAATTTTTTAAAATAATATGAGATATGCTAGTCAAGTTACAAGTAGTTACCACGCTATGTGGTAAGAGAAATTAGCAGTGATCCTACATTAGCATGTCTTAATGTCTCCTGTTTACTATTTTTCTTATGATCAAAGAAGAAAGAACATGAATTTGTTGTTTCAGTTGGTTCGATGCATAAATTAAGGATTGGTTTTGAATTGATTATTGCATGAAATTATTTTACTACATCCCACTTAGAAAATCTTTTTTCCAGACAATTCTTGACAAAATCTTGGTGAAATCGAATTCAATTATTCTTGAAAGGAACTGATTGATTGAACAATTTTAACGTTAGAATTAAAATCTTTTTAGAATCTAGTTGGCATGATTCTACTAGTCCAAAGGAGAGACCAAACCAACGTGTCAAATTACAAGAAATCTAGTTACACATGTACAACAATGGTTGGTTAAGACTATATCCAGCTTATCCAAGTAGAAAATTTGGCAGATAAGGTATGCTAGCTCAAGAACCAATCTAAATCACAAATACCACACATAATTTAACTAGAAAATCCAATCCCACCCAAAAAAAATATATATTTAGTGAACCACTCACTTGAGCACACAGACTGTTAAAGGAAAATTCATACATGGCACAAGCAATGGCATCGATGGCTGGTCTACGTGGAACATCCCAGGCTGTCCTTGAAGGTAGCCTCCAGCTAAGTGGTTCAAACAGGTTGTTGAATGTGCCTAGCAACACCACTCGTGTGGCGGCGGCACGCCCTGGACTTGCTGTTAGAGCTCAGCAACAAGTGTCTGGTGAGCTTGAAACTAGCCGTAGGGCCATGTTGGGTCTTGTTGCTGCTGGTTTGGCTTCTGGTTCTTTTGTTCAAGTTGTTCTTGCTGATGCTCTTCCTATCAAACTTGGCCCTCCTCCCCCTCCTTCTGGTGGACTCCGTAAGTTCATGAATTAATCCTCCTAGGCTATTTTGATACTTGTGAACCAAATGTTTCAATCTTGAATTAGTAGTTGTCAATGGTCTTTAGTCTAGTGGTACTCTCTCCTGCTTCGGAGTAGGAATCGAGTTCGAATCCATGCTTAGCCCTAAGCTCATAACATTTTTGGTGAAAGAAAATTTAATCTTATGCTTCAAAAGATGGTGAAAATAAGATTAGATTATTCCAATGACAATTGGGCAGACATCCCACGCCGAAACATCGAGGGTGTCTGAACGTCTAACAAGTTAAACAGAAAGTTCAGATGTCTAACAAATGGTACATGACAACGTTTTTCAAGTATGATGATTTTGTGTATTGGCAGCTGGGACATTGAACTCTGATGAAGCAAGAGACTTTGATCTGCCACTGAAACAGAGGTTTTTCTTGCAACCACTCCCCCCATCTGAGGCGGCAGTAAGGGCTAAGGAGTCAGCTAAGGACATTCTTGGTGTGAAAACTTTGATAGACCAGAAGGCTTGGCCTTATGTCCAAAATGACCTTCGTCTTAAGGCAGGATATCTTCGTTTTGACCTCAACACTGTTATCTCTGCTAAGTCCAAGGACGAGAAGAAATCCCTCAAGGAACTCACTGGAAAGCTCTTTGATACCATCAGCAATGTAAGCAATGCACTATTTTGATTAAATTTGTTTTGATCATCAAACACTTTCAGTTGTTAATGGAATTGGTTTTTCTTTTTCCCTTTTCCCTTTTCAGCTGGACTATGCAGCAAAGATTAAGAGCACTCCTGAAGCTGAGAAGTACTATGCTCAGACTGTATCTAATGATGTTCTTGCTAAGCTTGGTTAAGAGAAACTCATGTAATTTGATCTAAGCTTTGTGAATTACTTTATGAGACACTTCATTTGGATGTTCTTTGAAGGGAATCTAGCTGTGAAAAAGAATAATCATTGCCTTACTATTCTGTTTATGAGGCAATCATAAGCATGCTAAACAGAGGAATTAATTTATTGAAGGCAAAGAAGGCTATTATTGTATAGCCTTCATAGCTAGTTAAAGCCAACCAGTAAGCAGTGTAACTAATGGAAGCATGAGAAGAGAACTCATATTAACTATATAGATCACTGGAAAAAAAAAAAAAAAAACAGCTATTTCTTTTGTCAGGCAGGAACATAATGTTCGGAGCACGAAAATCATGGAGCATGAAAGCAGAAACATCAATACCAGATCATAATAACTTCATCAAATTGCAAAGACATCTGGTTTCTTTACTAGAAGTGTTCATATAATTTCATAAACTATGCATCATGACATTGACGCGCCAGACAAGGAAGTTGTCAGCCAATGCAGGAAAGGAAAGTAGCTTTCAGCATGGCAATGCATCCAATCTCTACATAATCAACCAAAGGAAAGTAGCTGTCAGCATCCTAATACAAAGCAGAATCAAGAACTTGAATATTATTTCTCGACAGACCAGAAATTCTATGATGATTTTTTCTTCTTTCCCAATTTATCTAGAATTTCTATGTAGAACATCATCAAGTGAACTGCACAAACCAAACCTAACCTAATAATTCTGTGAGAAAATAGACTGAAGTAAGGATCAAGATAGTGTTGACAATCCATAGACCTGTGACAAAAGGATGGTGAATTTCAGCAATCCGGTTGCATTCCTTCCAAGAGTTACCAGGCTAGGGCCTGTCAGGATCATGAATACAAGATAAACGAGGTAGTTGGCTGAATTTGTCCTTAGATTTCAGGAACGACTCCAATATGTCCTTACAACTCTAATTGCTCTCAGACTATCCTAACTTCCTAAATTATCCTAACCATTCGCTGAATCCATTGCAAGCAGATAGACCTGCATCTCTCATGTTAATGATCAGCGAATGGCTTGTAATTCCCAAATGGCTTCTGACCCTAAATATATTGCAATTCACATAGCACCAGTTATGCAAAAGGCAAGAATTTCTCCTGCTATATCCCTTTTTTCTAAGTGAGATTTGCCAAAGATACATGTCGGGTACCACGTATATATAGTGGCTGAACAATTTACAAGCCCAAGAAGAATGCTTCTGCTAAGTTACAGTGATGTCCCATTCTACTGTAATTCTGTAAACAATGTTTTTTGCATCCATGTGTTTCCCTAGAGGATTACTTGATAAAAAGCAGAGGAAACCATAATGAACTAGTGAATTGGAGTTTGATTCAAGTGGTGGAGATGGGTTATTTTAGCAGGGTCAGGACTTGATCAATCTGCGACAACTGCGAGGAAGTACAATCTGATATGAGATTCCCATATCCTTGGTCTCTGTTATCCTTAGTATCAGATCCGTTCTTTTACCTTATCTCAGCATGGTTTTCACAGCTTTAAATGATTAAGAGCTTATTTGGAAATTTACTTATTTTTTAAATAGCTTTTCATGTTAAAATATATATTAATGATATTTTTTTATGTTTTATATTAACATATCAAAATAATTTAAAAACACTAAAATTATATTAATTTGAAATTAATAAAAAAATAAAAAATTTAAATTTTTTCAAAAACACTTTTAAAATATAAAAACAAACAATGCTTCTCAAATTCCAATTAGAATTTCCAACCAAAATTGATCGAATGGATTAATGTTGGTTAGAAAATAATTCCAACCAAATGAATTTAAATAATTAAGATTTTGTTTTGAGTCAAAGATTTGTACTCAATGTGTTAAAAGTGGATATTAACATAATCTCAATTTATTTTATAAAATAATCTGGATATTCATTAATATTTCACCCTGATGGTGTCTTCGCTATGCTATAAATCTGCATTACTTTTTGTAGAAAAATATTTAAGTATTACTAATGTGTTTTAAAAAACAAAAAAAAAATCTAGTAACTTAGGTTATAGTTCCGCCCAACTAAATAAGCTAACTTTATTTGAATTATATGGAAAAAAAAAGCAACAAATATATATATATATATATATATATATTTAAACTAATATATGACCAAAAAAATTGAACAGCTAGAATTTCTCAACTTATTATTTCACTTTAAAAAATCATAAATATAATTTGAAAAACTTATATATGTATTCAATTCAATAAATCATGAACTATTATGTAAATAAATAAATAAATAAACGGTAATTAATGATGAATAAAAACATAATTGAAAAAATAAAGGGACCATGTAAATCAACATATTTAATATTGCAATATTAATCATTTATCTGGTTGTGTTTAATGAATTTATTTATGGAAATCAATTTGTAACAAAGATTTACACACACATAAAATTCATTAAATAAAATAAAAGAAAAAAATATCATGCAAGGTTACACATATTAAAAATATTATAAAAATAAATATTTAATCTATATAAAATAAACAAAAAAATTACAAATGAATCATACTAACCTATGAAAAAATTAAACACACCTAATATAATTTTTTTTAAAAAATAATTGTTATTCAAAAAAGGCTAAAAAGCCAAAAAAAAATAATAGATAAGGGATATTAATTAAAAATAAATTTAGAAATTATTTGAAAAAAACACATATAAAAAAGCTATTAATATAAAAAATAAAAATTTTAAAAAATAAAAAGCAAAGAAATCAGGCATTGTTAAGCCTGGCATGCTAACCCAAATAAGAAAACATTCGCGCTAGCCTTTAATTTGTTTTTTATTTTAACGGGACGGACAACACGTCATATGAAAATCCTAAAATCCAACCACTAGTATAGCCATAAAAATAGGGTTCTTTTTTTACTTCAAAACTTATTTTCAATCTATATTTGACCTAAAACACTTAGAAAATATCATATAAACCATATTAAACCAATTCATGGCCTCATAAAACGCAAAACAAAAATGACTCAAAACTCAAAATTAACCTAAAATTAAAAAATATTCCTAAGCTTGAATTTTTTTTAGGTGTTTACATGGTTAAAAAAACACCAAATATTAATCACTTTCATCATATGAAACATTTTGACATAAAAATCGATCATTTTAGTGGGCGAAATCTTCCTAACAACAACTTTATTTCTCTAAGCTGAAACCTAGTGATCCTCTCTTTCCTCTCCACCCAAAAAAATACTAAAAAAGAGAGAAAATAAAGTTTGGTATAAAATATATTTTAAAAAAATTATAGAAATATGTTACCAGGTAGCTTAAAAATATGGGGGGCTAAAATTATTTTTTCAAACAAATTGCAAATATATTTTCCTCGTTTTTATCATTTCAATCATCTATATTTCAATTCAATTCTTAACCCCTAAAAAAATATGCAATTTGGCTCTAATTTAGGTTCAAAATGGTCAATTATGCAAAATAGAAGAAGTTTAAGAATCAAATTAAAAATTACATTAAAAATTCATTATTACAATCCATAATGAATTGTGAGATGATAAACAATAAAAATGGCTATAGTGGTTTACCCATAAGCTTTAGTTTTTGTTAATATTATTAAAAAGTATTATCACAATATCATGATTTTAATAAGCATTTAAAAAATTCTCTTTCAAATTCTAATTCATTAGAAATTGTAAATTAATAAAAGACAATAATATTAATCAGATTTTAAAAAAAAATATTATGATACCTTGGAAAAAAATTATGGGAGCACAAAGTTAAATAAAAAAAAGGTATCGGGTCAACAAATATGAAAGAACATAATGAGAGGAAAAAAACTAACCACTCAAGAAGATCTAAAATAAAAAAATAATAATTAAAATAATGAAGGTGAAAATAAAACATAAATGGGAAGGCAACTAAATTTTCTTGATTTGAGGGTTTAATTAAAAATAAAAATAACTCAAAAAAAAAGAATAAGAAAAAAATTAAAAAAATAGCATGTCGTAAACTTGAATTGAAAGATGAAATTAAAAACTAATAAAATTTTTATAAAAGGGGTTAAGAAAAAAATAAGAAATTTAAAGAATAAGGACCAAATAAAAAAAACATGAAAATTTGAAATTAGAGGGCAACTAAAAAATAAAAAATAATTAGAGGGAATAAATTTTCTTTATTGAAGGGTTTAGTTGAAAATAAAAATAACTCATGAAAAAAGAAAAAAAAATAAAAGAATGGGGAAAAATTGTAAAAATATAACATACCATAAATCTGGATTGAAGGGTGAGATTAAAAACCAATAAAACTTTTATAAAATGAGTTAAGGAAAAAAATAAAAAATCTAAAGAATAAGGACCAAATAAAAAAATACAAGAAAAATCAAAATTGAAGAACCAAATAAAAAAGGAATAACACTTATTCAAAAGAATAATGGAAGAAGAAAAAAGGACAAATTTTTTTATTGTAAGGGTTAAATTGAAGAAAAAAATAACTAATATACCAAAATAAATTACTCCAAGGTCATTTTCAATATTATCACTATCGTTATCATAATTATTATTACTATTATCATCATAATTATTGTTATGATTATCATTATTATTGTTATTATTACTATTACTTTTACTTTTACTATTATTATTATCACTAATACTATCACAATCATAACTAATATTAATATTATTACCACAATCATCACTTTCATCATCATTATTACTATTATAATAAGTTATTATTATTACCATAATTATTAATATTATTATCATTATAAATAATATTATTAGTATCATTATTATTATTACTACTTTTACTAATACTAATAACTAATATCATTATTCTTATTATTATCATTATTATTACTCCAACTGTTACTATAATTACTATTATTATTGTTGTTGTTATTGTTATTGTTGAAATAACAAAAATCATAAATTTATTTTGAATGATAAAATAATAATAATAAGAATTACTATAATTAACATCATTACAATAATAATAAATTATTATTATTGTCACTATTATTACCATTATTATCTCTATTAGTGGCATTATTACTATTACTATTAGTATCATTATTATTATTAATATGACTTTATCATTATTGTTGTTGTTGTTGTTTAAAAGCCATAAATTTAACTTGAAAGATAAAATTAAAAACTATAAAACTTTGATGAAAGATCCAAGAAAAAAACTAAAAAAATAAAAAAAGACCAAATTAAAATTTTTATTATTATTGAAAATTATCACAAAATTAACTTGAAGTATAAAATTGAAAGCATACAAAATTTAACAAAAGAAAATAAACAAAATCAAAAATCAAAAATAGAAAGATTGTACATAAAAAGCACATAATGAAATGACAAAAGATAATTTTCTACCACTAAAAGGTGCCTCATTCACTGTTCAAATTGTGTAGCGCTTTTCATATGCTAATAGTTTTTTGAATAAATAAATATTAATAAAATTTTAAATTATTTTATCATCCTTAACCAACCCTAGTAACCGAAAAAACCAAAAAACCTAGAGAAAAAGTCATCAACACCCCTATTTAAATGACCTATTTTTTTTACTTCAAGGACAATTGTGTAATTGCATTGTATAATGAAAAAGTAAAAATACTAAAACATCCTTGTCAGGCAATGTTAGTTTTTTTTATTTTTTTATTCTAGAAGTATATTGGTTATTTTATTATGTATTAAAAGATAAATGGAAGAAGACACCCCCAAACAAAACCAGTAATGACAAATAACCCGTGTAAAAAAACCAAATCACCCTAAATAAAAAACAATAAATTTTTCTTGTAAGCCATAGACGTCACTCCATTATTGTATTATTGTAGTGAATAATAAATTGTGTCAATGGCTACACAAATTTTCCCATGGCCTTGTTATTGTTCACGTATATATACTTATTATTGTTCACGTATATATACCGAAGGCAACTCATGGTACGTCTCTTATCAAAGCTGCATGACATGACTAAAAGATTGATGTCTTCTCCCAAGTGCAGGAGTGTCGAAGTAATAAATAACCCGGCAAGACCGGGGTCAAACCA